ACTCAAAAACGGAAAACCCTTTCGTCTAGCGGGTTTTCCGTCTTGCGAGGCATTCGTCTTGCGGGGCACCACTGTATAAGAGTTTAAGGATACGTTCCACTCAGTGTATGAAGTAGGGCTGATGGAGGGGTATGCCCTGGGGAGAGAGGGGTGGCTGATGGAGGGTGGTCTAGGGTGAGCCCCAAAGCCTAAATAGAGAGCACAATTGACCTCTGAGCTTGAGGTTCTTCACCCCGTGTCAGAATATGCCTTCCCTTATCTGGATCCTTGTACGGTGGTACCTTGGGTTACATACACTTCAGGTTACAGACTCTGCTAACCCAGTAATATTACCTCAGGTTAAGAACTTTGCTTCAGGATGAGAACAGAAATTGTGCGGCAGTGCAGCAGCAGAGGGAGGCCCCATTAGCTAAAGTGGTGCTTCAGGTTAAGAACAGTTTCAGGTTAAGAACGGACCTCCGAAACGAATTAAGTACATAACCAGAGGTACCACTGTAGTGACTTTTCATCTGTGCTTCTGGTAGTTTCTGTGGCCAAAAGCTCCTCCACCTGATGCACGTACAGTTTCCTGAAAAATTCTCCTTTTAGCAGAACTCTAATTCCTTGCTTCCTTGTTCTTCCTATGCAGAGTATGAATTTCAGAACTAGGGCAGTCAAAGCAAAGCAAGTTCCCCACCTTGTTGCCTGCAACCCAACCCTCACATTATGTTGGGGCAGATTTTGCACGTGTGGATAATAAATTTGCCCTGCTTCTCTATCCAGGCTCACAGATGTCACCTGCACGTCTTTCAAGACCTGTAGTGCTCCAGGATTTGTTAGGAATCACAGATGAAATCAAAGGTGACATCAACACACTACCAGTTCACATGTTTACATTGTTCTCATGAATGAAAGATGTGGGAACAGCAGCCATCTGAGCAAAACCTGCCCAAAGGTAACACAAGAACCCCGAAAACAGGAAGGTACAAGAAAATATGTGAAAAATGCTCATACCGGGATCTGTTTGTTTATGCTGGTGTGGGATACTATGAATTCCCAAGGAACCACAGCCATTTACCCAAGTCCCTGCCTTGTCTGGTGATGTCTGACTCTGAAAAGGGAGTCGGACAAATGAAAGGAAGGAAATAGTTGAAATGTTCATTTTCCACTGGAACAAGGTTGAATAGCCTTGAGCTGACAGATGTAGAAATACAATTGTTTAACAACTTCCTCCCAGCCAAGAGACAATATTACATACCTTTGTAAAATACAATACCATGCACATCGTACAATACAAGTACATTTTGTAAACTGGATACTTCACAATAGAAAACTTTAAAGCTTGGCCAAAAAAATTTGGCTTTACCTTTCAAACAGAAAGGAAGTTATTATGTACACTGAGCCAGAGACCTTTGCTTCACATTACTCCCCCCTCCCCCCCATTCATATTAGCTCTTGCTATGTCTCCAAGTAAGCCAAGTACTCTTAATGGAGTCACAGAATAGCTTTGCTTAATAATTAAAAAAACCAACCTGTTTATTTTTAATGTTAATAGCCACTCCTGTCCCACTTGGAGCATTGGTTTTAAGATAACATATTTTATCAAGTAGAACAGAAAGCCATCCTCCAGAACAAAAATAAGCAGAAAAGTTTGTCAATGTATTGCATGGAGGAGGTGCACCAGAGCATAGGATCCCTGCAATTTGTTGGCAAGTTTGTTTTGAGTCTCGTTTTGTTGTAAGATGGCCTAGGGGTTCACTGAACGGATGGGCAGTGTTATGTAGTGTAGTTTCACCCTGGGCCAACAGGGGGATACTGTATATAGTTTTCACTCAGGTCTGTAGATAGTTTTCACTCAGGTCCGCGCCAGTTATTTTAGATCCCTCAAAGATATACATAATTCTTTAAAATGAAAACATCACTCTCTATGAGTTCCAATATTATCTAGTTTATATAATCAAATGGACAGTCTTCTATATGGAATAATGAAAGTAAACCGAGGAACACTTTGTGCTTATTAAGGTAACAATTGCTATGCTGGATCTTTCCAACTTCCAAGTCTCCTTCTAGTAAGGATGGGAGAGAAAGTCAGTTGGTTAACATTTTAATGTAAATTCAATTTAATTCACACAATACAAAACAGTATGTAAACCAAAACACAGCTATCTTTCGAAATTCACACTTCTCCAAAAAACTGTGATGTAGTTCCCCAACCAAACCAGGTGTACTTAATGCTGTAATTAAGTAACATTGCTGGCAAAATGTGTATGTGTAGGTGAGACAAATCTACAAACAAAATATATATTAGGAGATATTTGCACCAATGCTGCCACATTTTCATGAGAACTTTAAAAAAAAAGAAATCTAGCACAAATTTAGTGCTCATTTTGTAGAATGTTCTCCATAGGGAGGTTAGATTGACGCCTTCATTATGCACCTTTAGGTGCCAGGCAAAAACGTTTCTCTTCAATTAGACTTTTGGCTGATTGACATCCAATGCCTTTTTAGGTGTGCTGTGGGAGGAAGGATTATTGGGTTGTTGTTACTATTATTGTTACATATTTTATGGTTTTTATATTGTAATTTTATGTTGTGAACCACCCTGAGTTCTACAGATGAAGGGCGGGATACACAATTTAGTAGTAGTAGTAGTAGTAGTAGTAGTAGTAGTAGTAGTATAGTTTGGCATTTTGCATAGGCTTTTTGCACAGGCATATTATTGCATTTTGCATAGGCAATAGTTTTCTGATTCAGATGCATGAAACTCACACAGTGAATGGCTTTTTTTCTGGGGGGAAAAGAGTGTTACCTATCTCAGTGGCTCTTCAGGAAGACATGCACATAACCTTTCTCTCACAACTCAAATCAGACAGAGGCACACACATTATCCACACCTAGCAGGCAAAGGTTTGAGCTATGGTACCTGCAATAATGGGATGCTGGATGAGTGCAACCCAAACACCATTTTGTTTCCTATTTCCACACAATGAGCTTCTTCTGACCTCTCCTCTTTTGTCATTGGCTGTTATTCCAAGATGGAGACAGACTTAATTGTTTTGGGTTGAGTACATTTTACCAATCAGACACATACCCATGGGGGCTATATGCACCCATTGTTGAAAAACATTAGTTTATGATCTTTTAGATGAAGGAGCTCTCTGCACAAGGTAGTGAATATATGGAGCGTAACACATCAGCCTCCAGGGAAGCAAAAATAAAGAATGAAGAGATTTATGTGAAGATATTCACATTTGTAATTCATACTGCATTTATTATATATGATTCCACAACATTTAATGTAGGATTTCAGGAACAAAACAAATGAAGGGTACTGTGATAGAGATATTTCGTCTCCCATTATCCAGAGCAAGAAGCAATACAACTAGGCCTTGGCCTAGGCTAGGCCTTCAGCCAAATTCTGCCTCATAGCTTGGGCATAAACACAACAGGCCAACATTATGGTTTTTCTGTTGAGGCAGAGCAGAGCAGAGAGGGAATGTGGAAAATAAATGTTAATAATTGCCTAGCAATTGCTGTTCCTGCATCATCCATTATTTGTTTATATAAAGGTATCAACATCTTTGGTCTCTGATAGCTGTAGTCTCTAAATGTATTCACTATGACTTCCCTCCCTTAAGCTATGTATTCTCATGTCACTGCCACAGTTAATGAACCAATTTCCACAGCGAAGAGTTTGTAACCAGAGTTTTCCTGTCAGTAAACCCTGAAGAGATTAGCACGGCGACTGGCATACCCTCACCAACAGAAGCGAGTGCTGTAAAATGGCATCTCAGCCTCCCATATCCTATTCTTTAAGGGCAAGCAAGCAGGGACTTTCTATATGAGAGATAACCATAGGGAGCTGTTACTATAGTGTGTGTGCAAAAGGGATCTCTTGAGAGCAAAACAGTGGGGGACATTTGCCAGGCAATGTTAACTGCAAGTAGCACTGTAGTACCAAATTTGATTTGGTCTGAGAGGAGCTGTGGGCTCAGCTGCAATTTTAACAGATCCCAGTATTCTGTCCTCCATCTGTGGCATCAGCTGGTGTACAACTCCTCCAATTTGGCCCTCGCTTTTGGCACTTTTCTTCACTTAGGAGAGCAAACCTGGTCCAACAGTCTGATACACTCTTGGTACATTGTGCTAATAAACATAGTTATTAAGCAACACTACGGACTATCCACCTACTGGTCAGATTGTGGGTGATAATGCAACACACTACAAGAACACTGTGGTTTACATTGCCTCCCCCTTGCCAAAAGCTTTGTGGGGTTGCCAGACCTTAAGGTAGCTGGACTTCCTAGGAATCCTGCCCCCGATCCCTGCTGTATGGGAACTGGGTGTGGTTGGTCACTCTGTATTGTGAGAAGTCGCTTTAGATGCTGTTACGTATACTCCAGCTCAGTGAGCAGAAATGGCATTTCAGCACTTACACAGGATTGGTCACCTTTGAAATGAAGTCCCCAGAGGCTTGCTGGCATTTTTTTACATACAGGATCATCATAAGAGGAGATACAGCATTAGATATCCCAACAGATCCACCCCAAAGGTTCACTGCACCCATATCAGGTCATCAAGGGGAACCACCAACATATTCAAAGCACCAACAGTCCCAGATTTGTCCCCTTTTCAGCCTGCTATTTTTTAAAACAACAACAACAACCTGCCAGTTTATTATCTTATTTCAATTCCAACTCCATACATAGATGCAGTTATCTTTTCACTGTTACGTTGTTGTCAGCATCCATCTGTCTTGGAAGACAATTGAAGAGTGCTCATTTGGGGGGGAAGTCAAACTGTTGGAAGATTGCAGTACCTGCTGTGGCTGAAGAGACCAATGTGGGAGAGACATGTTTTGTTGCAGCCGGGGCAGATGAAAGAGTCCAGTTGTGCTGCTGCAGAAGCACCATGGTGTTTCTTCTCTCTGTGCTCCTCCCAGCGGTCACTCCTCACATTTACACTTTGGTGGTCACAAAATGGCTGCTGTAGGGGTGTGGCATATCACAAAATGGCTGCTGTCATAACATTAAATGGCTGCTGTGGCTTGACATAAAGGAACTGAACAGGAAGAGCAAGCATTGTGGATTTCTGAGGGGATATTTACAGAGTGGGATAGGAGGTACTTCTGGACACATTGATGCCCATGGGCATCATGTTGGAAATGCCTGTGTTACTTCACTTGGAGGGGTGGTTTTTAAAAATCCAGATAAGGGTGGAAGTGGGCAGGCAGAGTTGAAGCTCTCTATGTGGTGGGAATATATCCTCTATTTCTCATAGCTCTTTCAGTATTTTCATTTCACATTTCTGCCCCAGCAAAAGGCTGAAGGACACACAATTTTATGCCAGCATTTTAAATCATCACAAAAGACTCTTCACTAATGTGTCGCTTGAAAAGTTTGAAAAAAGGACTCCAGGAAAGCAATTCCAGTTAACAAAATGCCTAGACAGGAAAATGTATGAGAAGGGTACAGGAAGAAATGAGTCTATTAAAGGGATGCTCTTAATGTGAATCACATTATTAAAAAGAAGCTCAAATGACATTTCCCCCCCATTTAGAGAGTTTAATCATCTTCTAGGATCTCCGCCGCCTAAACTGAGTATTAGACCCTGGCTATCTAGTTTCCGTACCCCTTACCTGTCTCTTTGTACTAGTTTATCTACTGTAGAGATGAAACAGAAGAGTTCTATTTGCCATTCACTTTAGATTAGCCTACAGCTTCCAGAGTCTGACAAAATAAGATGAGGGGGGAGGAGAAGCATCCCACATTTTATCTGGGATTGAGCTGTGATTGCCCCTTCCAGATGGGTTGCTTCCAGCAACTGATTCTCTTACTGACTCCTGTCTGTTCTTCAAACTGTCACTCCTTAGAAAATTATTTTGAAATGCCAGACTGGACCTGAGAATCCTACCAGCTCAGACTGGAATAACTGGAGCATCATGATTGCATTCTCTCCCAGGAGGCAGGGCTGGATGAGCTAAAAGACATCTGGTTGCACAACCAGAACTGATCCCGCTGCCCAGAATGGAGGAATGTTCTGCTCCTGTATGGTGTTCTCTGTGGCCATGTAGCTCTCCATTTCCTCCATCAAGCAAGGAGCCAGAAGAGGGGTAGAAGGTAGATCAGGATCTACTGGCAGATCTCTGGGTGATTTGCAGTACATCAGTGAGAGTTTCCAAACCCCAACTGCTTTAACGATGCAAAACTAGGCTGCCAAAATGAAGAAAGTTACCAGGCGTGAGTTTGGGTGAAAGTACAGTTAGCTCAGTTTAGCTCTGGTACTGGAAACAAATTCCTAAGCTCACCATGTGCTCAGAGGAACATGCTTTATACTGAACTGTATGGCTTTTGGACTGGACTCTCTTTGGTCTATCTGACAAGGCTGAAGATGATTTAGTTGTTACTTTTTCGCAGGCCCATCCAACCAAGTAAGACAATTAGATGTGACATGGAAGTGGACCTCCCTAGATTGTTAACAGAAGCCATAAAGTTGCCTGTATAGCTCACAGCAGATGACTCGAATATTAATGAGCAAAGGGAAAGGGTTTAAAATCCCTCCCCCTGTGAAGTGTTTCTATTCCAAATCAAGAGACCCAGAAGCTGCTAGTATTATCCTTTTTAAAAAAATTAAAAGTGGGCAGCCCCAGTCACAAATTCTATGCATCATGTCTGTTTTGCTCCTCATTCAGTCCCTGCCTAGCTCTGGGTTTTCAGATTTATTTATTTTTTAAGTTATTTTTATTAAAGCTTGAAAAACAAACAAAGAAAAATCAATACACAGAAGTCAACATCAAATATCAAGCAATTTTTAACATAAAAACTAAAAGAAAGAAAAGAAAGAAGAACAGAAAAAGAAAAGACTTCTGATTCTCTGTCTATCAGCTTTAAAAACCTATGCAAGACTCTTACTCCATAATAACACCTAACTCTTCTACTTTCCACAAACCAACCTTTTTTCCTGTGTTCAAAACTTTGAGTTTTCAGATTTGGCAAGTTGTGCACATGTTACCAGCTTATGCAATACTGTATAATTTCCTATGTATGGAGATATAGGAATGATTCCCCCCTCTTAAAAATAATATTTGAAAATTCCCTTGCAGTTTTTGTTGTTAAAAAAATCATTCATAATTGTAGCAACATTCACCATGTGTGTACATAGCTGTGTGCATAGGATTCTGAGTTCAGATGATACCACAGCATATACGGTACCCAATAATGACCAGTCTGGACCTTCTGTCAATCTAGATTTGAACTTCCAAGAAGTTGCCTGCAGCCTCTGTGCCAGTTCCATGCCCTAAAGGATCATGGTAAGTAAAAGCTTACTTGCATTTTATAAGTCGGTAAAGAATCACCTGAATTGAATACCTTATGATCATTCTTTTAGCATTTCCAGAGATCACAAATCACTTGAAGGAGGTTTCTTTCTGCACACCTGAGTCAGAACATCAGCACGAGTGGTCCTATGAATTGCTTGTGAACTTTCCCTTCAGAGTTATAAAGGGGGGAATCATGAAGCATAAAGGGTGTTCATTGCCATAATGCTGCTGTGAGAGTCTCTAGGGAATTGGTTACTCATCTCCATTATTCAGAGCAGAGACTGTGTGTGGAAAGAGGTGTATGAGGGGAATATCTCATGATAGTGCCATCTATACACTAAATTTGAACTGCACTGACAAAATCTGATGTGATGATTTATCTGAGAGAAAAGTAATCTAGTCACAGATATAGAAGTCAACCTCATTAAGATGTAGATGCATATGATGTCCTTGAGGCAGGCAAATACAGAATTTAAAATGGATCTAGCAGAACGAACGTCAAGCCATGTATGAAGGGAGCCAAAAGAAGAGGCTATTGAAAAGCACTTTGGCGGAATAGAAAAACTCAATATCATGACCCTTGAGGATGAGGGGTATTAAAATATCGTTTCCCTGTGATAGCATACCCCAAGGGCTTAAATCAATTCACTAGAGAGGCTGAGCAGTGCATTCATTCCATGGAGATTTGTGGGGATTTTTGAAGCTGCATTAGGCTGCCTACATTTGTTGGCATTCCAAGCAAATAGATTCTGAGCTCAATTCCAGGTGCTTGCATTGGTGTTTAAGGCCCTAAATGACTTTCCGCAAGCCCCAGATATATGGATCACCTCCTTCCCCATAGACCCTCTTGGTAATTCTGATGGCCTCCGAAGCATGAGGGATGATAGCCCAGGAGAAGAGGGCATTCTCTGTAGCAACCCCCCAAATATGAGATGCAACAAGCAGCTTCATTTCAAAGTCTCCGTTGTCTCTCAAAATGCACCCCTTTTTCCTGGCCTTCAGCAACTAAGGTTTTCTGATGCAAATTCTTTGCTTTGATAAATTGCATTGTTGAATTTTAATATTGAATGATTATATGGTTGTAAACCCACCCTGGGACCTTGTGGTGAAAGGCAGGTAAGAAATATCCAATAACTAACTAACCAACTTAATAAATAAATGGCTGATATTGGGAAAGGGGAGACAGAGACCTACGGGTATAGGGCGGCATACAAATCAAATCAAATCAAATCATATCAATACATACATACATACATACGTACATACACAATTGTCCAGTAGCACATTAGAGACCAACTAAGTTTATTCTGGGTAAAAGCTTTTGTGTGCATGCACACTTCTTCAGATACCTGTAGAAGTGTGCATGCACACGAAAGCTTATACCCAGAACAAACTTAGTTGGTCTCTAAGGTGCTACTGAACAATTTTTTAATTTTGACTACGTCAGACCAATGTGGCTACCTACCTGACTCTAGATACATACATACATACATACATACATACATACATACATACATACAACCACCCACGCTGAGTCTTTGTAATGAAGTCATTCCATCCCCATTAATGTTAGGCCTCTGCTGTAGCTTTGGTTTCTGAATCTGCATCCCTATAATTCCTTATGGGGCAAGCTCAATATTTTGTAAATGTAACAGTTTGAGTGGACTATTGGGGGTCATTTTTAAAATACAAGCCAGCAAAAGTCTGAGCAATTTATTCATATCTTTAAATGGTGGTGGTTTAAAAATGGCTATCAAATGTATCCTTTGTTCTTAAAAAACATTCCCCACCCCTAGTGTAGTACCAAGGTCAAGCACAGACAAAAACAATGTCAGTTTATGCTCATTGTATTGTAAAGTTATTCTGTGCAACCTTATTAGAATGAGAGCAGCCGAGTGCTTTCAGTACCTGCTAAGGAAGGAAGTTGCTGGGCTCCCCTGCCTGACATTTTAAAAATACATTTTAAAAGCTGTCCAGCACAGAAACCATGACATTTTTGTCTGTACTTTGTAGCAAAGTACATTTATCCACTGGTGGAGGTGTGTTGGGGGGGGAGGAGCTATGCCTGCAAATTTCACCCAATTCTCTCCAACAGAGATAAGTTGTAGCCACTTTTTAATTTTCCTCTTAATAGAGAAGCCACAAAGCTTCATTTTCCCAGATCATATGGATTCAGACCTGAACCAAATCAGGTAGCCTCTAAAGTGTTTAAGATCAAAGTGCTGAATTGGGGTTAGAACTGGATCTTGTGGTCAGAATTTTGTATACAAAAGATCCCGGGTTCAATTCCTGGCAACCCAGTTAAAAAAGTATCTGGTAGGAGATTGTACAAAATAAATCTCCCTGGGACCAGGAGAGCTGTTGTCAGTGGGAATAGCATTAGAGTAGATGGGGAAATGGTTTGGCTTGTTATAAGGCACCCTTGTAGGAAATCTTTGGATGGGGCAATTTACCTTTAATGATAAATTATTTGTCCGTGTTATATAATCAAGACAAAAAGCTCTCGATCAATACATGCTGCAATCAAGAGGAACTATCAAGCTGTCATTTGTGTAAGCATCAAGTGGTATTTATTTTAATGGGTTAAATTAATCAACCAACCCATTAAAATCCAGTTGCTTGAGAGATTAAAGAAAAGAAACCCCTTTATAAGTGGACTTAGTAAGAGCCCATCAGGGGTTAAAATATTAGAACAATAGTTGATTAAATTGAGCCCTGCCAAGTTGCTGGCAGACAGAAAATGAATGATGGGCAGTGACCTTTTGATATTTGTCTGATTTGATGTTGTTTGCTGTTACTTATTATTTAGTACGTATTGATTAGAAGACGAAGAAATGGTTGGTTGCTATTCAAAATGAGCACACAATCATAGGCTTGACTTTGTTGGAAGTTACCAGGAGATTAGAGCAAATGTTAGGCAAACATTACTTGATTTTCATGTCAGAGTCTTTCTGGAAATGGCACAACTTAAAATGGAACAGATAGCGTATTGTTTAAGAAATAAATTTCCTGTTTTTGAAGCTGGGTCACTACTACAGGATGTTTGCTATTGGGGGTGGGAATCTTTGGGGATCCAAATCATGCTGGATGCAGAACAGACTGTGACAGCTATAATAAAGTGAACAATACAACAGCTCAGGGAGGGTGGTGGAGGAAATGCTATGGAGAGAAAACTTCCAGCACTGGATATTCTTTGCATGGATTCACATTGAAATATGACCTTGAATAATTACAAGAGCTTGAAGTCCCCCCCCCACCTCATTTCCATACGTTTCCCCTCGTCTTCCTAAATCAAAAGGCACAAAGGCATTCGTTTTTTAATTCATTGCACTTTATTTATTTATTTTCCAATATGCATAATACTGAAAAAGTTATATATTAACTATTGCCAGAAAGTCAAACAATGGAAATATGAGAGGATATGGCAGAACATAAACTACTTGTGGCACTGTGTATTATTAATGGACTCTTGCTACATTGTTGACAAACACCCTGAAAACTTATTAAATCAAAGGGGTGGTGGTATATAAATGACTTTATGAAATAACTAAACTATAAGCACCCTGGGTGCGACTGGGCAGACTTGCGCTAGACCCAGCTCAATCCACACACTTGTACTGAGCTCAGCCTTTGCTGGACCACTATGAAGCAGAGGCTGCCCTCTTGAAAACGCTCACGAAGGTGATAAGTGGATCATGTTAGGAAGAGAGCTTCAGGCAGTTTAGAACAGGTTTCGTCAATGTGGTGACCTCCAGATGTTCTTGGACTACAACTTCCATCATCCGAGGCCATGCTAACTTGGGCTGATGGGACTTGGAGCCCAGCAACATATGGAGTGCAGCCATGCTAGCTATTCCTTGTCTAGAGCCACGCATCATCCTTTGTATCTTCAGACATACGGTTTACTATAGGAGCACGCTGAGCTATTGCCACTGAATTTGCTGAGGAAAGAGTCCCGGACCCTTTTGTCTTTCTCAGCTCCCACAGGCCAGAACAAATCACCATGGATACCTTCAATGGAGATCCAGTACGGTTTGATATTTGACACATGAGGAGAACCTTTGACATAGTGTTCCATGAGTTATGAGCATTTGTTAACCTCCCTGGTGCCCTGCACAAATCTTTAGGGTATACATTATACAGTGGTACCTCGGATTAAGAACTTAATTCGTTCTGCAGGTCCGTTCTTAACCTGAAACTGTTCTTAACCTGAGCTACCACCTGAGCTAATGGGGCCTCCCGCTGCTGCCGTGCTGCCGGCGCGCAATTTCTGTTCTCAACCTGAAGCAAAGTTCTTAACCCGAGGTACTATTTCTTGGTTGGCGGAGTCTGTAACCTGAAATGTCTGTAACCCGAGGCACCACTGTACTACTTTAACAGTCGTCACTTCCCCCAAAGGATCCTGGGAAATGTAGATCCATTAAGAATTCTGAGAGCTGTTAGGGGCCACTATTCCCTTCCCAAACTATAGTTCCCAGGATTCTATGGGAGAAACCATGCTTTTTAAAGTGGTATGATAGTGTTTTAAATGCATAATCCTGAAGTGACCCAAGTAGGCATTTATTTTTTCACTCCCAGAAACCAGCCTAAGTGGCAACTCCCTGCATCAGAAATAATGAAAAGCTGCCTTGACTTCGTCCTCACAGATTGCCACCTGTTCCCACTCAGGCTTCGCAGATATTTGCACCCATATGTGAACTGGGAATTAAATGTTTCTCCCACTTAAAGTATGGGGGGGTGGAGAACCCATTTGGCTACTGCATGGCTGACAGCCATTGCACCTGTGAGCTCCTCTTGTAGGTCAAAAGCAGCTGGTCCGCCTCCAACCAGCAAAATACAGAATAGCGTTCAAGGGGAGAGTGGAACACAAAAGAATCTGAACCATTTAATTTTCATTTTGAAAAATAAAACACTATTTATTTTGCTTCAATTATAGAGCAATCATGCTCCTCTGAATGGGCCTCACAGACATTCACTACAACTTTTCCTCT